GAATGTGGTGTGAGGAAGTGAAAGGCTGGGGACCCCCGTTTACCGGGACACGCTGCCGGCTGCGTCCCCACAGGGGTCACGAAAAGCAGCCGCTGGGGAGGGGGAAGTGGAACAAAGCCAGCACAGTGCTCTCCCGACAGGCACGTCACTTGGTGCATGCAGATGAGAGACTTCGTTAAACTGCTCCCGACGATGGCTGAAGGCCTTTTCTGCTCCTTTGCTTAAGACACCTTGCACAACTCCCGCGTGCCGAAGCGCGGGCTCACGCGCAGGGAACAGAGACGTTCTCGATGTTATCGTCGCCATCGCTACGGAAACCACAGACCAGAAACAGAAAGAGCTTTTAACCTCCAAAGTAAACCTGTGGTGATCACCCCGTATGCGAGAGCACCTCTGTGGCTCCGTTAGCGAGGGGTCTCTGAAGGGTGGCTGGAGCTGGATGGCTCTGGTTTTAATAAACTGGAAAAATTGTAGAATACGTCAATTCAAAACCAGTTTAACCCACTGTCCCGGAAGACCCAGGACGCTGGAAACCTTGGTGGTGGCACGGTGCGAGTTCCCGCAGGTCTCCGGGCGCTTCGCTGGGGAGGGGAGCGTCAGCCCCGTTTTGCAGGGAGGAACCACGAGGCCCAGAGAGGCAAAGCGACTGCCCAAGGTTATCCAGCGGGACTCGGATTAGGCCGCGTGTTTCCCAGATCAGCTGAAAAGAAATCCGCTTGCGCTGGATCTCAGCCTCCCTCGTCCTTGGCTGCCCATATCCCCGAGGGGTGGCTGATTCCCCCTTGTGCCCCGGACAGGGAGCCCGGGTGGCCCCGCAGGAGGTGGCACTCGTGAGGACCGCGTGTTCCAACACGTTCTCCCTCCTGCCGCAGCCCTGCACGCGTTAAACCGCTTCGGGGAGGTGCCAGCAAGACCTGTTTCACCCGTAGAGCTGTGCCTGTGCGCCGCTGTCTCCCGGAGGGACCGGCTCAGGCTGCGCACCCACGGGACACGGCTCAGAGCCGGGCTCTGGTCAAGCCTTGCTCAGGGCTAAGCTCCCGTATGCTGTCCTCTGTGTGTCTTCAACCGATGACACTGAGCAGTAGCCCTGTGTTAACGCTTCTGCTCGGCTCCAGCAGGACCATTCCCTTCCCCATGGCTTAGCAGACGAGCCCAGCAGCGCCAGAACCACGTGCAACGGAGGAAACACCTCCGCGGCAGAGCCAGCTCGCAGCCCCAAGCTCTCAGACCTGCAGTAGCTGGCTGGGGTTGAGGCT